ATATAATTAATGATATGTGGTGAATATAATTGATGAACGGAATTTTTAATAAAATAAAAAATTATTTTTTATGTTTTGATGATTCATTAAAAATGTTTGAACAAGCACAATAAATTTAAACTTTAATTCCCAGAAATATGCACCCGCAGAGCAGATCCCATGCTAAGACCTAAGACTACGAAAAAAAATCAATTTTTAAAAAATACTTTCAATCGCGCCAAATGAACGCTTCAATGGCAACGCTAGAATAATTGCGCATATGCATTTAATTAAGAGGAAAGCAAAATAAATTTCGATAAAATATTTGTTTGAAAAACTGATTGAAACAATAACAAACACAGCAGTCAAATCATAATACTTGAAGTTAAGAAAAATTAAAATGTTTTTAATGTGCGGAATAAAGAAAACAATAACAAAAACAAAAACAAAACAAAAGCAACAACAACAAACAAAAATAAAAACAAAATTGCCAATGGCGCTTAAAATGTACGCTCGTATAAACAAAAGCAAAGCGAAGTAAAAAATTAAAAAAAAACAAATAAAACTACAAAAACAAAACAAATAAAAATGTTAAATAAAAAATGAAGCACAAATTAATATTGCATACTTTGGAGCGCGCTAAGAAAAGAAAAATCTAACGCAAATAAAAGTACTCGAGATTGCTAAGGTGGCAGCGACGGCATGCATGTGATTTTCAGTCGTTCTCATCCTCCTCCTCCGCAATCATTTTCTTTTTATGATTGTTTGGTGTGTGAGTTGAGGCGCAAGACGGCTGTAAAAAATGACGGATATATCAATAAAACGGTTCATTTGTACTTTTAAATGCGCTGGTAAGGAAATGCCACTGCAAGCTGAAGCAAAACACGCTTCCTTTTCCACTGCTTAATCTTTGCAATCTTGGTTTTTTTTTTCTGCCGTGAAAAACTGGGAAAAACCGAGAAAAATACTTGAATTCTTTTTTCTTAACATTTTCATGCTTTGTTGTTACCAAATCGCTGTGCTAAACATATGAGCTTAAATGTCATTTTTCCTACTGACGTTTATGTAGCATTGAAGATTAAATAAAATAAGCATAAGATAAATGCCATTATACGCTTGACGCTCTTCCCTTACCGCTTGAGATGGTAGCGAATTTAGCATTACTTTCGGCTCATTTACAATACTTACACAACGACATTGCATTCAGCTTAAGAAAACATCTCAAAGAAACAAATTTCACTGTTGTAAATTTTACAATTTACAATTTAGCATAATTCACTTTCTCGTAGAGTATAAGTTACGCCATCTTGCCGTAACGAATGCGGAAATGTCGCTATTGTCATACCCATTCTTACATGACAGACGGCAGCGCCATCTACTGCTGCTAATGTCGTAAAAGTCAGCATGGCGTAATAATTGTAAAATACCTTTAAAGATTATCACCAGTTTAAATTTAAGCATTATTTGCACTTCCACAGTATTTCGGCTCAAGTGGTTCTCCTCTGCGTTCGAAAGAATTATTTTTTGTAATTTTTTTTTTGTTTTTTCAACGTTAATTTTATTACTTAAATTTGGTTTTCACTTCTTGCTTCCGTTGGGTTTCTAGCTCCTTGGTTCGTACATAAGTGGGTAACTTTTTATGTACGTGAACACAAATACCAATCTTTTTTATATATTAATTTGACATTTTTATGGGGTTTTATTTGAATAAAGTGGAGATTATTAAAAAGGTTTAATTGCTTTGGTGGCTTAGGGAAATTTAAAAATTTGATCGTTTTCAACAAATTAACAATTTGTGTTAATAGGAATTAAATATCATTGTGAGTACAAAAATTACATTTAAAAAAAAAAAAATTAAAATTAAAAACAATTTTTAATTTGAAAAATTTAAATTTAAAATTAAAATGATAAAAACAACAAATATTTAAATGTTAATTTTTTTTTAACAATAATGATTTTATTCAATAATAATTTTTTCTTGCCAAGAGTGACGCGCCTTTATGACGAAAAGAATATTCGAATATGGCGGATTCGAATAGCAAAGAAAAGATAAACACAAAATTTTTTAGTTAATTAATTGAAATTTGGCTGACCATACAACGCTGTTTCGAATATTGCCAATGCTGAGTACTTGGCATAATTTTATTCATTCTGAACTTATATTATTTCACTTAATAAGGCCGGATGACACATAGTTGACGGTACTATTGAGAGAAGTATAGTTGCTGATATCGCACTAATAAAATCGATAATAGGATGGCTATATCATTATTATTATTATTGTTAGGGGATGTAACACTGCGACCTTTGATTCTATTGCGCCCCCTTCTGAACTTAGATTAGGTCTCTAAACCCTATTACGTCAATAAAAGTAGTATAGAATCTACTTTACAGAGTTTTATTGCCTCTTTCGTAAGAATATACATTCCCAGGAGCCTATTCCGTATGTACTAATATCTGAACAACTCTGACAGTTACAGATGAATTATAATTTTTAAAAAAGTGTTACGTTTTAAACGGTACGTGCCAAAATTTTGTTAAATCTCAGATTTAGTTGTCAAGTTACAGTAGTTTAAGGGCCATGTTATAGTCATATGAGACAGTCATATGAGGAATATTCGTAGCACTGTTACGCTCTCAGCGGTCATGACCAAAAGACATGATGTAGAAAGAGTCATATCACAATTGTCAATTTTGTTTTTTTACTATTATTTTGTTATCTTAAATGTAAGAGGTCATTGCTTTTGTATGGATATGCTTACATTTCCACACAAAAATGCACATAATTAATCGTAAAATTCACAAATTCTAACATTTATAATTTAACAACACTGTTTTGATCAACGTGACAACATAAGGGCTATGTTAAGTGGAGTGTCATGGACTGGTCAAAATTGTCTCTTTTGTGGTTTGACTAAATAGGCATGTTATGTACAGCTTCACAGAAAATGTAATAATTTGCTTCTAAAAGACACAAATGTTGACATTTATAACTGAATAAGACTGCTTAGCTTAAGTGACGAGGCTTAGATAGCCTCGGTACTCATGACCAAATTTGAACCGAATATTTTTTTTTTTGCTCACTCTCAATTTAATGACACTCATAAGGACCATGGCACTCAAAACAACGTGGTTCTTAAGGGGTGCCACCTCTCCATAGGTTCGCCTTAGTTAAGCCCATGTACGGTATTAACGGCTCATATTACATACTGAGCCACACTGATTTCTCAAAAAAAACCATAGGACAAGCAAAATTCCTATGGTGATAATTCTATTCCGTCAACATATATGGGACATTTGCGAATTTAAACATGGGAATTTCTCGATATTTCACACAATTTTTTGTATTGTTTTTTTTTAGCCAAGATATCTCTTCATCTTTGAACTCCAACTAACAAGGCAGCATGCTATATATAGTAGTATCAAAAGATGTGTTGTACCTAAAAAATACCCAACATCGATCTGTGTGTTATAGGGAAAAATTCATAATTTTAGCTCCTTCCTACATTGTCGCTTCCATATGCAGTTGGATCATAGACAAAAATAATGAGTTGGATTATGGCTACAAAAAGCGCAATTGTGGTTGGATCAGGTATAATTTCAGAAAGTGTAACAGAAAGGTATTATGATGCGATCCAATAGCTTCTGGATATTTCAGTATTAAGGCATGGAGAAGAACGAGATCTATGAAATATGTAATATTTTTCGAATGTTATCGTTGTCCACATATGCAAAAATCTAGATTTAAATTATCGGGTGCTCTAGGAAGACCCAAATATTTTACCATAATCATTTCATGTATATATTATATTTAAAATATAACTTCATTACTTTAACTGTATATGTAAATTTTTGTGCATATTTGTAGAGATGGTTTTTTATAGATACATTTTAAATAAATGTTGATTGTTGAAGTGAAATAAAAATAATCTTAAACAATAAACTTTATAGTTTTTTGCATTGCACTTACTTCTAAACGTATACGTTCATCCTTATTATGTGGCGGTTGGGAATGACGTTGATGCTGCGACTGTTGTGGTCCATCGACTTCATCCTGCTGTTGGTGTTGGTGTTGTTGCAATGTCTGTTGCGGTGTTGAAGTGTTTGTATTTACAAGTTTACTACTATTTTTGCTATTCATCTTTAAGTGTTTACTAGTTGTGTCTTTTGTACCATTCTGTAATTGTTGCGGAATATGTTGCTGGTGCTGCAGTTGCTGGTGGTGGTGTTGCTGATGTTTTTGCGAACTACCGCTGGCATTAGTCGATGTTGTTATTATGTTAACAACAGGCGATCTAAGCGGTATATTATTTTCGCGATCGCTAACAAGCAATAAATCAGGTGGTGCACTGCACGAGGATGAGGCGCGCACTTGATGATACATTAGCTCCTCTGAGTCTGTCGTGCATTCTTGTACTGTTAATGAGAAAAAGGAGGAAAAACAAAATTAAATAAAATTATGTGTGAGATAAGGCAAGTAGAAATTAACTACGAGAGACCTGTCAGTGCTGACAAAACTTTTTGTGTTTCCTGAAATATGCGCAATATAAAATTACGTAGTTAAAATAACAACTTCATGATTCATGATTCATGCTCTTCAGTATTACAAAACGAGCTAACGCATTTTAAAATTATGTTCACAAATCCACACTATTTCCAACTTATCTTGGCCGGCGTATCTTTCAGGGAAGGCGGCAACTGCAAAATTTAGTGCTACTTCGCATGCAATTTCCCGCCGCCGTGCCTGCCTTGTCATTACTACAAGTACATAATTTTTTTTTTTGTTATTTTATTAGCAACAGAAAAACAACATAAAAGGGGTCAACAACTATTAAAAAAATAAAAAAAATGAAAAAAAAATTAATTAAAAACAAAAAACAAAAAAAAAATTCATAATATTAAAGTAAAAGAAAGCACATTATGAAAGTAGAGACAACCCATTTCGCATTAAGAATTTGTAATTAATTGTGGCAAATGTGTTGGCGGCTCTGTAATTAATAATAAAAAATAAAGTGCCGAAGTGAAATGTAAAAACAAAAAACAAAAAAAAAAAAATAATAATAATGAAAAAAAAATATTCTGAATGCCTTTTTGTCTTTGTAATTACAAAAGTTTGCCGCCACATGACTCACTTAAGTACGCTTTTTCACTATTTTTCACATTCATTCGACGCTTTTGTTCGAATTAATGAAATCGCTGACAGCTTTTGTGTTGACATATTGCCCCAAGTATATTTCCTCTATTCGATTTCTACTTTAACGGCTACTGTAGCTACACTTTCGGTTTAATGTTTCTTGGATATTTGGTTGCTGTGTCGATTTGGCCAGCCCAGCCCCGCTCCACTCGCCCGACCATTCTCACTGTCTTCAGCTGCTGCTGCTGCTACTGTGACACAGCACGATCGAAGTGCTTAAATTGCAATTTTCGGTTTCCTTATGTAGTTTGGACATGCAATTTACAAGGAAAAGGTTTTTACTCCTCTGCAGTAATTTCAGCTATGACCGCTCCATTTCCTGTAATCAATTACACTCGCGCTGGTAATTTGGCAGCACTTTTCTTTTGCTTACCATTTGCTATTTTCAGTGTTAGTTAACACATTGTTTTTGGTTTAAGTGGTAGCACATTTTGTGACAATTAAATTAATGTTGCTAAGCTGCTGAAGAGGTGGCGGGCGGAAGAGGAGGAAGAAGGAAGGATGCAGTCAGTAGTGAATGATGCGAAATAAATGTGTTAAGGCAGTTACGAAATGGAATAAAAGCTGAAGTAGCTAAAAATAGATTAATTGGTCATTTTTAATTTACGACTATTTGTAATTTGCTTAATGAAAGAAATTAAAGTTTAGCCAAAAGAGAATAGAAATCAGTTTTCTGTTAAACATTATCTTTTGTAAGACTTTAAAGATATTTCTACTTGCTACTGCAAATAAAGGAAAGTTTACACTAACGTAATTAACTCGACATATATGCAGCAATCCTAAGATCCTAGATATTTTCTTTTTTTCAAACACCCTCTTTCTCCTACAAGAAACATCTGCAGTAATTCCTCAGAGAAGTACGTCATCTTATTTACAAATATTTTCAAAGTAAACACTTTAAACAGTTTCTTCAAAAGCCGAACCATAGACTTTTGCCTCAGTTATTTGTCATACCAAATCTATAACTATCTGAAATCGATATTTTTCATACAAAATCCATGCAAAAGTAGAACATTTCATGGTAAATATAGTAAAATGCTTTCAATTTTGAAATCAACCTACTGTAAGCATTCATCAAGACATCCTGCTTATGCTAAAATAGCCAATTGGCTTCCTAAAATTATGAATAGTTTTTAATTAATTAAATAGATTATAGAAATAGATAAAAAAACTTGGAACTTGAGCATGGAAAATTTGTGTAGCCTTGGTTACTTTTGAAAAAACACGATTAGTTAGTCATCGTTTCTAATTCGACAGGTATGAGTTCAAAGCCTGGCACTTGCAGTCCAACTAATTATATGCGGAGTATTAAATAATAAAATAAAAATCTGAATATTTTCTAAGACCACTGATAATGAGTACTTGACAATACTTAAAACAGTGTTGTATGGTTAGTCAAATTTCAATAAATTCATCAAATTTTTTTTGTTGTTTCATCATGTATTTATTAACAAATTGAGATACACTAATGACGCAGTGTCGATTTGCTGGAGGGATTACGGAATCTTTTAGATGATATTGCAAAAATAATGTAGTTAATATAGTTTATATTAAAATTACAATAATACACAATATATGATGGTTAGAAAAGGACTTGTCAGATTAATGACATTAACAGCAAATGGTTAAGACATGAAAATAGTTGACATGTGTTTATATCTAAGATGCCAACTTAATGCAACCATGATAAAGAAGTACGCATACAAATCGAAAAAGCAAGAACAACACTTATATTAAGATGAAAAACTGTTACATTCCAGAGAGTTATTTTTATCATTGGAAATATATATACTGAAATGCTCCATTTTTTCTACACTACTTTCTAGTGTAGAAGCGTGAACATTAACTGTTGCGTCAATGAA